AGGATTTAATTCAGTTCAGTTCTGTTAAATTAGCATATCCTGAATGCTTGCATCTGTTGACGAGTGGACAATGGGGTTTCAGGGAGGTAATTGTGCTTAACTGAGGGCTGGTGAGTTTCACGGTAGGGCTGCATTGCCTTAGGCCACATTCTGAAGTAGAGGGTATTTGAAGCTGATCTCTGCTGAGGCACTCCCCCTCCCACTGACCAGTTGTAGGGGTGGGGGGCCTTGGGGAAGCTGCTGTCCTGCAGGGAAGTTGACCCCTGTCCTGTGGTTCAGATGGTCCATTCCCCTCCTTTCCCTACTGGCTGGCTATCGGAGCTCCCCTCCTCCCCACTCCTGGCTAAAAGGAATCAATCTGTGTGATGAGGTGAGCCAAGATGTCTCTGAATTGATGTGCTTTCTGGACTCATTGCTCATCTGTTCCATCTTTATTTATCCCATTAATGATGCTGACATTGGCAATTCCTAACCTTGATTATCGGCAGTACATTGTAAGGGTTTAATAAATGTTTGTCAAACTGAATGAATGACAGGCTGATGGACGATATTTGGGAGATATATGGAACCTTCCATAGTTAGGTAAGCGTCTCACTCCTTGCAACCTCCCCTACACCTAGCCTAACAGCCGCCCCGCTCTGAATAACAAACACCTGAAAAGCTTCTTTGCTAATCTCACAAGTACGTCAAGGTTTTACTTCAGGGCCATCCTATGAACAGTAGTTATCCTTGAACTGTACTACAGATGGAGAAGGGTAGGAGTAAATCAGAATATAGCAGGCAGTGTGTGTTTTAGAAACAAATCCCTGAAGTGCTCCTTTCAAAAACATTTGAATTGAGCAAATAACCTACCTGTTTCCTTAATTTTGTGTGAGCATTCCTCTTACAGCCTTTGTCCTGTTCCAGTCTAGGGGGAGATGGGGAGGAGGTAGAGGCCAGAGATCAGATGAGGGGAGAAAAATCTCAGCCCAGGGCAGGCCTTCAGAATGGGCAGTCTGGAACTCTCTGGTATGAGCTGAAACTACAATTCAAAGGCAGAATTTCTCCTTCCCAGAAGCCTCAGTTCTGCTCTTAAGGCCTTTCAACTGATTCAGTCAGGCGTGCCCAGATTATGTAGCATAATCTCCTTTACTTAAAGTCAACCAATTATGGATGTTAATTACACCTACAAAATATACATTCATAGCAACACCTAGATTAGTGCTTGATTGAATAATTGGGGATTATATCCTAGCCTTGTTGACAAGTGAACTTAGCCATCACAGCTGAGGAAAGGTAGGGCAGTTGTTTAAGTCCACAAACGCAGTAACAGCAGAAATCAGTATTTTTCTGTAGCTAACCCTTGTCCCACGGGAATGCCAGATCTCCATGTAAGGGATTCTCCAAGGGTTGTTTCCCAGGTGCATACTCTGTCCATCCACTGGATTTAGCACTCCCCAGTTCTCTGTCCTGTTCCCTCTTTCTTTTTGTCAGTGGTTCTCCCCAGGGTTTGAATGAAAATCATCTATGGTGCCTTTGAAGATAACTATGCATATCCTTGCAGAGATTCTGGCATGGTCCTTTTGTGGGGAGGGCATACCAGAATTTCTTAGTTAGAGAAAGGTGAGGAAGTTCATGTGGTATTTGAAAAGCTCTGGTGAAGCTGTGTTGTACATCTCATCCCTCCAAATATATATCTCCAGGCTAGACCTTATCCTTAAACTTCAGATCCATGTAAATAACATCTGGACATATCCATGCAGCTCTCCATAAGAACCCCAGGCTCAACATGTCCAGAGCTGAATTTGTTGGCTTTTCCCCAAATCTGTTCCTCTTCCCAATGCCCCTGATGAATGGAACCATCAATCTGCTATCATTTAAGCATTAAGGTTGGGGTCATCCTGGGCTCCTCCAGCTTCCTCACATTCCATAGCCCATCAGTTGTTAACTTTGTAGATTCTAGCTCTGAAACTTATCTAGAACCTGGCCTCCAGCCCATCCTCCCTGATTCTGTCTTCCTTAAGTTTCTCATTATCTCTCTCCTGGGCTATTGAAATAGCATCCCAACGGGGCTATTATACCTCCTCTAGGCTTACTTGTACTCCATCTCCCCACAATCCATGTAATTATCTTTCCTGTTTAAAATATTTCAATAGCTCACCATTCTCACAAGATCATGGCTCAGACTCCTTAGTTTGATCTACACCTCCAGAATTATTTCTTTTTTTAATTTTATTTTATTACATTATATTAATCACCATACATTACATCATTAGTTTTTGATGTCGTGTTCCATGATTCATTGTTTGCGTGTAACACCCAGTGCTCCATTCAATATGTGCCCTCTTTAATACCCATCACCAGGCTAACCCATCCCCCCCATGAGAATTATCTCTTATTCTTCCATTTTCCTACCCTCAAAGACAAACAACCTATAAGGGAGCCATGTGGGATAACTTTCAGTTCCTCTAATGTGCCAGGTTGCTTCACACCCCTTTGTCTATGCCCATGCTGTTCCCTTCAACTGGAATGCTCTTTCCGTATTCTAGCGATCAGTCTCACCTCCTGCCCCACAGACCAGCACCAATCATATCTGCTTGGTCAAACCTTCTCATCTTTCAAGATCTCATGTGTAACTCTTTCCTTAAAGCCTTTCTTGACCAGGCCTTCCTTCCCCTCCCCCATCTTGGGGCCAGGGCCACTCTCAGAACTGACCATACATGAATAGGGTATCATTATAAAAATTAAAAATAATGTGGATAAACCAAAGGCTCTCTTGATTCAGCCCTTGTAATCTCACTCCTCTCTTGGTTATCAGTGTGTTGTAGATCATTCCAGACTGTTTTTTCACTAACAATTTATCTTGGAAATATTTCCATGTGAGTGGGGTCATATGGACCCATTCCACACAGAATGTAGTTGCTGCAGAGAATTCCCTCGTGTGAAAGTATTGTGGTTAACTCTTCTGCTATCGATGGATATTTTCCTCCCCGATATTTACAGTAACAGTGCCACAATGAATATCATTTTGTATGCTTCCTTATGCATAGATGCCAAGTACTTCTTTCTACAGAGATGCCTAAGAGAAGTCTGGATAGAAGGTATACAGGTTAGATTCTACATATTCTTTTCATATTTTTATATTTGAAAGTATATTTTTCATTTCTCATGCATTGATAAGAGTTCTTTGTATATTTTGAAGCATAATCCTTAGTCTGATATACGCATGCACACACACAAAAGTATGCATGTATGTGTGTGTGTGTATGTCTCCAAGTTTGTCTTAAAATTTTGTTTATTTGTCATAAGAAATTTCAATTGGTCCACACTACTTAGTGAATGATAGCCCATTTATTCTCAGCCCAAATTACAATGTCATTTTTTTATGAACTAAATTTCTAACTATATTCATGAGTCTGCTTCTATAGTTTGTTGTAGATTTTCTTGATCTTTTTTCTTATTTCTGGGTGAATACCACACAGTTTTGGTTACTATAGCTTTGCTGTATGTTCTGGTATCTTATAAGGAGTCTACTGTTTTTTAGCAGTCTGTCTTCTTCTGCTAGTTATTTGACAGATGGGACGGAGTCATATTTGTCTTTGAATTTTAAAAACCTTTTACATGGTTTGCATCCATGTGTGTTGGGTGATGCAGATGAGTAAACCCAGAAGGTATTGGCACTATTGATGCTGCACTTTATGTTCTCAAGGTCTCAAAGATCATGGTGAAAATAACACATTTTCTAGTTTTTATTCCACTTCCTCTTGTAGTTCAGTACTTCAGTGAGTTATTTCATAGGACTCTTATTATTATTTAGTTTGTTTTTGAATAAATAATTCATCTACAGCATACAAAATCCCAAAGGTAGAGAAGTGATAAATTAAGTCTCCCCTCAGTTCTTAAGAGGCAGTTATACCTACCAATTTCTTCTTTAATCTTCCAGAATGGCAGCATACCATGCACTCGGTTCTGCACCTTGCGATTTTTATTTAGCCGTAAACCCTGGAGATCATTCTACATCAGTACACGTGATGCTGTGTCATGAGATGGCTGTGCTGTGTTTTATTTAACCGGGAAGGCAATTAAAGTTGTTTCAGTAAATATTCTTTATATGTATAACATTCTCAAATATCTAGAATAAAAGTTCTGCACATGAAATTGGTGGGTCAAAGGGTATTTGAATTTTCAGCTTTGATTTATATCATTAAATTGCTTTCCAAGAAGTTTCTAGAAACTTCATGAATGAAGACCTTAATGGCGCTTGCCACCAGGCTTTCAATGTGCTCAGACATGTACTGAGTACCAGGGGGACACTACAGAGGGTCTAGCTGGGCGCCTGACAGTGAGTGGAATTCTGTGTGTGTGTGTGTGTGTGTGTGTGTGACGTACACATGGTAAGAAGCTCAAGGAAAAACCATCAGTCAATTAATTAATTAGGGTCCTCTTTAAAGCTCTAGTAATGAGTGCAAGCATTAGTGGCTTGAATAAAGCTTTGCCTTTATTATTCATTAGAAACTGGCAGTAAATAATAGGTTTGAATTTCACAGTCCTCATGCTGCTAATCAAAGCACAAGATCTTAAGATCATAAATTATTATCCCTCACAACAGGAGCATAAAGGGAATTTGGTTTTATGAATTGCTAACTGGGACACTTGCTAGCCTCTCTCTGGGTCTTGGGCTGATTCAGAGGGAAGGAGGCTGGTAATGGCACCTTAAAACTGGAACATGGTCTTACAGATTGGACAGGGCACAGTTTCCTCAGACTCACAATATTTTACCTACCTGGAGTCAGGGGGATAAGTGGCCTGACGCAGAATGAACAGCTCCTCATTCCCCTTGTTGGTAATGGTTCATGATGTCCTATGGCCCAGGCTCTTTCTGGGCCATAGGACCCTTGCAGCTCCCTTATGTTATCTTTCACTGCCCGCTTCATCTGGCATTTCAAGTAGAAAGGCTTCAAACTGCCAATTGGCATGGGCAGAGAAAATGTCTTTAAATAAAGCATTGGCCAACACAATCATACTTTATAACAAAAGTTTATTAGGATTAAGTCACATTAGAAAACTTCATGCTTTGCCACTTGCCATATTTACCCAGAATGACCAGATTATACTTGGCTGAGTATAAAACAATTTGTGCCCTGTACTGTTTAGAAAGTAAGAAAATTGATGTACGTAGCAGTGTGCCGGACACCACCATGGTTAATAGCCTAACAGCTGGTCAGCAAAGTGCGTGTTACTTCTGAGCTTTGGGCCTGAGGAAGACATCATTTCCTTCCTCCTCCAGAAGCAGACCCATCGGAGCCTGGGCGTTGAAGACTGGAGCCTGCTTCTTTTGGACTTTAATGTTAACATCTGTATTTCAAGAAAAGCTAGGCTTGAGGTATCTTTATAGCTTCAAACGCACAGGTCGTGCAGCTGAATTAAAAGCTATTGTGTTGGTCTGTCTGTCACGGGCCACGAGCCACCTCTCACAAGGGGAGTCCTGATGCTGTGTTCTTGCCTCCTCAGTGTGGTCTACGCATCATCAGCTCTGCTCCTCCAGCTTCTGCTTTTGCTCATCAGCTGTGAGAGCTGGAATCGGAGGGCAGGCTGGGACTCCTGCACTGCCATGTAGAGACCAACCTGTGCCGTGAGTCTCATCACCCAGCCTACAGAGGGGACCTGCCAAAGGGTCAAGAAGTGACTCAAGTGCAAGCAGGGGCAGGAAGGCTCATTCTTTAGATAAAATATAGTATGGGGAGAAGAAAACAGCTTTCTCTGGGAGGGGTCCTACCAAGTTGCAGAGCAGAACTGCATTGAGTGCAGTGTATGCCCGGCTATAACCAACCAACCCCTTCCTTCAGTAGGAGAAGTGGCTGGAAAAGAACGCCAAGGGGAACAGTGGGTCACCACCCAGCATGGGTTCTGTGAGGCCATCGACAGTGGTATCGATCCCTTGTGTGGGCTTTGCAAATAGCTCTGAAGTCATTAAGAGCAAGTGAGAGTCTAGGTTTTTATAATATACAAATTTCACTTACTAAACAACTGGGCATTCCCTTCAGCTTAGGAGCCCACATGTTTATGCTCAGAAACTTTTTTTCCCTGATTTTTAAACTCTCCCTAATGAAGGGAATAAAATCCGAAATCGAAATGAAGGGCCTGGAGAGCTATCTACCAAAAAGAAACACCTGCAGACCCAGCACCTCTGTTCCATCCATGCAGCAGCTAGATTCCTAACTCCCTCCCGTCTCAACCCTCTCCACCCTACCCCCCCCAATTCACTAATAAAAATGGCTGCTGTCAGGAACTTAGATTCAGTTGCATAATATAGAAGGATGATAATAAATTCTCACTTCTTCAGGCACCAGAGAATACTTGTGACAAGGTTTTGATTCTCTCCAATGTAGGCTCTTACTGCATCATCCAGCCCCTCCTCAGCACTGCCTCCCCAGCTTGGCTCGTATTCCTCCAGGAGCCCCACATGACTTGGGATCACATCTGCACCGTTCACCGTTAGTTCAGCTGGGACTGCCCCGGCGTCTGCTCAAGCTTGAGTTCGTAGCCTCCTAGGCCGAGGTCCCCCTCGTAAATGTTGTCCTTGCTTGGAGTCTGCGGGGAAGCTTTCTGGTCCAGGCTTGCAGGAGGGCTGCAGGGCGAAGTGGCTTGCTCCTGGTAACTCATGGCCAGTTCGTCCTGATTCACAATGCATTCCACATCTTCCTCTTTGAGCTGTTCCTGCAATTTGGGAAGAGAGAAAAGTGACTTCGTGAAGAAGAACACAAGAGCTGTCCAACAGTGTAAGAATGGAGGGTGCTTGTTTTCCTTTCTTAATGGCCCTGTCTTGCTCTGGCTGAGGTTCCTCGGCCCCCGGCACTGATGGAGCATTTCCCGTGGAAGACCTGGCCCCGGGACACAGTCACTTGAGGCCTCCAGGCCTGGCATGAGAGCTGGTAGAGAGCACGTGCTCACTGAGTGCCTGGGTTAAGGGAGTCAAAATAAAATTCAGTGGATTTTTTGAACTGGTACCCAACCAGGTTGAGAGGAGTTAGGAGTTAGAGGAGGCCCGTCAGTGTACGGAATGATTCTCAACGTTGGTTTTGTAACACTTGTGCCCATCACTAAATTCTCAAAACACAGTTTCTGTTGTATTTTACTTGAAAAGTGTGTCCTCACAGCATCTTTCTTGGGATGAGTGTCACAAAGCTAAACATGGTTGCGGGGTGCCTGAGTGGCTTAGTCAGTTAAGCGTCTGCCTTCGGCTCAGGTCATGATCCCAGGGTCCTGGGATGGAGACCCGCATCGGGCTCCCTGCTCAGTGGGGAGTCTGCTTCTTCCTCTCCCCCTGCTTCTGCTCTCTCTCTCTATCTCTGTCAAATAAATAAATAAATTCTTAAAAAAAACCCAAAACACAAAGCTAAACATGGTTGGAAGTCACGATAGTAGATAATGGCAGAAACTAACTAGATCTAGCCAACATAGGTTTCCTCAGACGGAGTTTTCCTTGAAGGAAAGAATTAAGATCTCCACTCTTTCATTGGCTTTGGGAAGGCCGTACGAAATTACTCACAGAAGGAGCCCTGGCTAGGTGACCGAGGTTAGTGGTTTCCAACATTCGGATGTACTAGAATCACTTGGAAGTTTCACTGAAGCAGATGCTGGGCCCCAAGCTCAGAGTTCTGAGGTGAGGCTGGGGATGGGGGGCTGAAAATTTGCATTTCTAGCAAGTTCCCAAGTGATGCTGAGGCTGCTGGTCCAGGGACACACTTTTGAGAACTGCTGCCTCAGGCTATCGTGCCCGGAGCACATCTGAGATGTCTTTTTCTCTCTTTATGCAAGGGGGTGGCCAGCTGGACAACCTCCAAGGGTGCCACAAACTCCAAGATTTTGCTCCTCTCCAATTCCTGACACTGGTTTGTTGGTAATGATTCTAATTGCTTCTCAGCATTTTTTATTCCACTCCCTTGAGCTATAAAGCACAGGCCTCATATTTATTTTTTATTTTTTTATTTTTTTTAATTTTTAATTTTTTTTTTAAAGATTTTATTTATTTATTTGACAGAGAGAGAGAGAGACAGCACGAGAGGGAACACAAGCAGGGGGAATGGGAGAGGGAGAAGCAGGCTCCCCGCGGAGCAGAGAGCCCGATGCGGGGCTCGATCCCAGGACCCTGGGATCATGACCTGGGCGGGCCAAAGGCAGACGCTTAACGACTGAGCCACCCAGGTGCCCCAGGCCTCATATTTAAAACCTCAAAACACAGCAGTTTGTGAGGACATATTACTTCTTTTACATTTTCTAAATTCATTTTATGGTTAAAAACATTGGTTACGATAAAAAAAATTGCATTAAAAAAAAAAAAAAGACTGAGCCCATATCAGCAATATCTGAAAAGAAAAGAGATATGCCTCTTGGTGCAGTGAATTTTAAAATGCTTCCTCCTTAAGCTGGGAAGTAATAGTCCTGAGGTTCTTGGGCTCATCAGTATCCACCAAGCCTGTCCCACATCAGGGTAGTTACTCACCCCGTAGGCCTGAGGACTGGTGAGCAGCCTGGAAATTGGACCGCACCATTCAGGTAATGTTGTGGTCAGTGGAGGACCAGCATGGGTTAAAATTGGTTTCAGATATCTGTAAGGCCTGTTAAGGAATACTTGTCAAGAAGAAGTTAGAATTTAGTTTCCCACCCAGCACAAACCTTTGCATGTGGCGGAAGAGACAGTTATGTTCACCTTTAAATCCCCGACTCCCTCATTTAGGAGGCAATTTGGCTTGCAAAAAATTGCTGTTTATAATCTTTGCTCCACACACTTTTCCAGCCCTCCTGGTAGCCTTTAATCAGAAAGAAATGGGAGTTGGGCCAGCCAACATCAGAGAGAGGGGGTAAATGTTCCTCTTCTCCTCCCCTCCCCCGCTCCATGTCTCATCCATTTGAGACTGCATTTCGTAAGAATTATCTTAAACACCACAGAAAGGATTGTGTTCTCTTAAAACTGCACACATAGCTTAAGTCACCAGTAATTTTCACAAAGAAGCAAGAGGTATTTCATAAACGCTCAGTCATTTTAGAACTGGGTAGTGAACATAGATTGTTTTCCGAAATACTTTATTTTCACTATTCAATACAGTCGCTTTATACTTCATACGTCAATGCGTCTCCATACAAAATTATGTAAATAAACTGGTGCCAGGTTCATTCTATTCTCTAGCACCTGTCTTTCTTATCTCTTCATCCCAAAGTGCTCTAACAAGTTAAAAGAAAACCGTGTTCCTCTAAAGCCATTATGTTTCCCTCCAATCTAGCAATAGTGAAACCCCTAGAGGCTGCCTCAGGTTGCCTTATTATTTCTTTTTTTTGCTCAAAGGAAAGTAGTGGACTTATTTCACCATTCCATCAGACACAACTTTTAAGCTTGATATTATTTCCTCTGCTGGAGAATATTTTACCTCATCAGCTTTCTGAAAAGCTATAATAAATAGGGAAAGGGAAAAAATGGAAAGCAGTTAACATTGGTTGGCTTGCGAAGATCCGAAGTCACCCCCAGGCACTGAGGACACGAGGAGATCTTGGAGATGGCTCAACTAGAACCCATCTAGAGCTGGACACCGCTCCGTCATTGCGGTGATGCCTTGAGCGTGTGAGGACAGAGAGCAGGTGCAGCCTCCAGGGGCAGGCATCTCGTTGTCTCTGGCCTCAAATCCTTCACCACTAGCCTAGTTATGATGCAAGGAGAGAGACTGAAAAGATGCTTAAGAGAGTCCATAATTCCAACTGCAAATGGAAAACTTGACACTTCCTTTCAGATGGGTGGCTCTTGTGTCCAGCAAAGGACCAGGGAAGATAATGAAGTTCAGAGCCTGGCATGCCCTGTAACATCTTTTGAGTATGTCTACGACTCTGGAAATCCTGTGACGGTCCTTCCATTAATTTTCATTACATATTGTTATTTCCTTCATTTTATGGATGGAGGAATTGGGGCCTAGAGTTAGAATGATTTTAAATAATTCAAAGGCTCCTGTTGCTATTTGGATCCACCACCAACATTGCTAGTGAAAGAGAAATCATCAGGGCAGAATCACGCATTCGACCAGCTGGTTCTCTAGAGAGAAATGCTTGCAGACCTCATCCCTGCTGGCGAGCTGCAGACCCTCTCACACAGGGGCACGTGAGGACACGTGGTCTTATTAGTGTTTATGGTATGTGTAAGTCAGCGAAAAAATACTCTTTTGGGGAGGTGAGGTGGGTAACATACGTGTACAACTGGAGTGTAAATCAAGAAAAATCCAGCCAATTTTATTTCAAGATGGAGAAGTGGTGGTAGGTAAGCTATGTTTCTAGAGACATCATATAAAAAAAATGAAGAGGATCGTCAAGGTTCTAATGGTTTCAGGGGCAACTTCCACTATTTGAGGTTCTCGGAATATTGAAAAATTAAAATGAAAAAATGCCACAATAATGTTACAAAGTAAAGCGCAAATTTAAACATTTAACATTTAAATGAACATTTTTTTCTTTTAATCTTGATGAAGTATCTCTTTAACTCTATGTGTAATGTTATTGGAGCTAATACTTAATGACAAAATTTGTAGCTTTTTGTGAATCTGGGGCCTGGACCAAATGGGGTACCATTTGGCCTCTTCTGGACAGGTTCTGGGATTTTTGACTCAGAACGCCTCGGCCTAACTACCAACTCTGCCACTTTACTGACCGTCTGACCTATGGTCGAGTTACTTACCCCTGTGAGCCTCAACTGTTGTTGTGAATATTGATGGGAAATAACATTATGTAAAAATGGTTTTAAACTCTATGTGCTATCCAAATGCTGTTTATTTTATTTTAAAGATTTATTCTCTAAAGAAGACTTCTGAGAAATTGGTGTCTCAATCGTTGTTCAGATAATAATGGGGAAATGAGACTGAGGGTAGAGATGAGAAAATGGCCCTCTGGGCATTTGGTGTGGCCTTGGGATGCTCAGGCTAGGTTGTAGGTGGGAAATTTAAGGCGCTCCTACCCCAAAAGTAGCTATTTGGGTTAAAATTCGTTGTGCAGGCAGCTGGTATGAGGTAGTAGGTGAGAGGTGGGCAGAATCTGTTGATGTAAGACTCTTCTAGGAAACTCACAGTGACATTTTGACTGCACTGCTGTCTCAGTAGCTGTGAGTCAAAGGAGTGAGGCATACTTGGTGTGGCAGCGAGTGGGATTTGCCAAGTGCCACGAAGAGCCACGGCAGATGTGGCACAGAATCGATGCTGAATTTCCTGGTTTGCCCAGTGCTTGCCATATATCATGTGCTCAGTGGGTGTTTGTTGAATTTCTGATACAGAAAATATGAGTGAGGGAAGTAGATTCTGAGTAACTTGACAAGAGAAGACAAAAGGGGGCAGATTACACTGTTGGTGGGAATGCAAGCTGGCGCAACCACTCTGGCGAACAGTATGGAGGTTCCTCAAAATTTGAAAATAGAGCTACCATATGGCCCAGCAATTGCACTCCTGGGTATTTACCCCAAAGATACAAGTGTAGTGATCCGTAGGGGTACGTGCACCCTGATGTTTATAGCAGCAATGTCCACAATAGCCAAACTGTGGAAAGAGCCAAGATGTCCATTGACAGATGAATGGATAAAGAAGATGTGGTGTATATATACAATGGAATATTACGCAGCCATCAAAAGGAATGAAATCTTGCCATTTGCAACGACGTGGATAGAACTAGAGGGTATTATGCTGAGCGAAATAAGTCAATCAGAGAATCATATGATCTCACTGATATGAGGAATTCTTAATCTCAGGAAACAAACTGAGGGTTGCTGGAGTGGTGGGAGGTGGGAGGGATGGGGTGACTGGGTGATAGACACTGGAGAGGGTATGTGCTCTGGTAAGCGCTGTGAATTGTGTAAGATTGTTGAATCACAGATCTGTACCTCTGAAACAAATAATATATTATATGTTAAAAAAAAAGAAGATAGTAGGAAGGGAAAAATGAAGGGGGGCGGATATCGGAGGGGAGACGAACCATGAGAGACTATGGACTCTGAAAAACAGACTGAGGGTTCTAGAGGGGAGGGGGGTGCGGGGATGGGTTAGCCTGGTGATGGGTATTAAAGAGGGCACGTTCTGCATGGGGCACTGGGTGTTATGCACAAACAATGAATCATGGAACACGACATCAAAAACTAATGATGTAATGTATGGTGATTAACATAACATAATAAAATAAAATTAAAAAAAGGGGGGCAGATTATAGCCAACTAATGAGGTTTTTCTGAGGATAAAAGGCTAAGAAAGTTTAAAGTTGAAGATGGACCTCTTGGGTCTGAGTTATTAGGCTGAAGGGACCATGAAAAGAGTGGGAATGGCATGAAATAAAGTGGTTAAAAAATAAACTTGTGTTTTACTCATTCATTTGTTCCTTCATACGCTCACATGTTTTTGTTTTTGTTTTATGTGCCAAACTAGTGAGGCATGTGCACAAGGAAATGGACACTTGCATTTAGAATGGAAAGCTCCCTTATCTCCAGACTGTGGTCTCCTTGAGGGCGGGGCTGTCCCATTCATTTGGATACAGTGCTTGGCACATTTTAGGTGTGCAAGAAATAATTGCTGAATTAATGAAGACAACAGGCTCAGAGAGAGGAAAAGAATTGCTCAGTGGAACCCAGCCAGAGAGTTAAGGGCAGAGCTGGGCCCGGGATCAAGGACGTTTCCATCACACGAAGCATCTTTCTTCTGTTACAGAGACACTGAGTAACAGGTCTTGTCTGATTGGACAACTGATTTGGAATTGAGGAATCAGTGATTTTCAGAGTTCTTTATTGCTGAGCAATGTCTGGAAAGTGGCTGGGTCTCCAGGGTTACCTAAATTATTAAAGAGTAAGAAAACTCTTTTGATCTACAAAAAAACCCCGACTGCTGATTTTGCAAAATGTGTTATTTTTTCCATCAGGTTCTAGTATATGTGCGGGGAGGGAGATTCCCCATTGGGTATTTTTAGTGCAGTTAGTTTTGCTTCTCTAATAAGCTAGAAATGTATCGAGATGAAATGTGAAGCTCTGGGGGAGGGGGGGAACAATGACTTTTCCCATCCAAATGACATAGGTTTGGGAATAGCAGTTTGGTTCAGGAGATGTAAGTAAAAGCTAGAATTCTACCCAGAGTTTAACATGCATGCAATAAGGAAGACAATTAACAGATGCCATTTTTTCCTTTGGCCTGAGTTATCAGAAGGTCCAGAGCTAAATTTAAAAATGCTTAACTGAACGAACATCCAAAATTCCTGGTAATGTTGATTTCTTCCTCTCTTTTGTTTGTTAGTTTTTGTTTTAATTATTTTAAATCCTCATGTTTTACCCATTGTAATTTGCCAAAACTAATGAGTACACAGCTTGCTCACCCCTATGCTTCCTATGACACAGTCCTACATAGACTGGAGAGATGCAAAAACCTTAACCAAAGAGCCAGCTCCACAAATGAACGTCTGCCCCTTTGAGGGGACTAAGCCCCATTGCCCCCTACCATGGGCTGAATGTTTGCATTCTTCCCCAATTCATATGTTGAAGCCTTAACTTCCAATGTGATTATATTTGGAGAGGGGGCCTTCCCTTTGGGAAGTAATTAGGGTTAGATGAGGT